AACAAAATACCACAAAGTGAGTTATTTTATAGAACAAAAATGTGTCTCATGGTTCTAGGTGTGCAACTCTTAGATGTAAGATTTTAGCAGAAATTTTGGATTCCTCTTGTCTTCCCAGTTCGATGCCAACTGACAACCATCACCACTCTTCCTTTTCTCTTTCAGTTTCTGGTAGTGCTGGGTGTCTCTTGGCATTCCTGCCAACACTGTCAGGACTAAGAACTTCGTTGGACAACTAGGATTGTGAAGCCAATATTGGCAGGACTGAGAACATGGGAGCACTGGCCTGAAGCCATGAGGTTCGAGGCTGAGGTGTCTGTGTACACATTTTGGGAGCTGTCTTGACTGTAGCCTGTTATTAATCTAGATTATAACCTTTTGATTCTCTCCTTCTTCCCCTAAAAAGAACACTGTAGGTCTGATGGTTTTACTGGAGAATTCAATCAAGAATTTAAGAAATAATACCAATTCCACATACATGTTTCCAGGAAATGAAAGTATTATGAAATCAGCATTACCCTTTGACTATAAACCAAAACCAGACAAACCCACCACTGACAAATTGATTCTGACTCATAGTGAACGTCTATGGAGTTTCTGAGGCTGTCAATCTTTAAGGGAGGAGACTGTTCATGTTTTTCCCATAGAATGTCTGGTAGACTTAAACCACTGACCTGGTTAACAGCCCAGCTTGCAATTCACTCTGCCACCAGGGCTCCCCACCAAACAAAGACATTACAAGAAAAGAAAACTATCAACCATTCTCTCTCAGGGACATAGATGCAAAAATTCCTAACGAATTATCTCCAATATAGACATTTGGAGGTTGTATGAGCGTTTGATACAAACTAAGTATTAACTAAATCACTACTAGTCATGAGCAGTGGCTTAGCTAAAATGGAATGTGAACTAAGATAAGAAGTTATTTCAAAGATAGTGAGTTTTCACAAAGTAAATATAAGCAAAGCCCTCAAAAAATTCCAAGTCAAAAACGGCCTTTTCCTCATCCCAACTTTGGGGTGAAGGAGGACACACTCTAACTGGATTGTATCCTGCCACTTCATTGGACATAACTGCCTTTGGGGGCATAGAGGAGTCATTTCTCCTCAACTACAGCTCATGGGAAAGAAGACCATATATTTCCCTCCCTGTACCTGGCAGGGATTTTGTGAGAGCTTCTTTGCTGGATTGAATGGAATCTGAGGCAGCTGGCGGCACACCAGATGGGTGGACCACACAAGGGAAAGAAGAAAACTGAGAGCAGCTCTGGCAAGCTCAGAAACACTTATAACCTGGAGCTCTGGAATATGAGCAGGCAAGCTGAGTCCAATATCAAGTCACAGCTTCTTTATTAATTCTGAAAATAAGAGTGACACAGAACGTGTCCACTGACCAGAATCAAGGACCCTGTAACTCCTACCATCCACCATGTCTAATTTCCAAAATTATGCAAAATACTGCACAAAATGGTTTTGTCAAAACCATCTAGGGTGCCTTAGTGCTAGTGCACACGCTCTCTCTCTCTCATCTTATTGTGAATAGAAAATTCCTCCAGATACCTGTCTGTCAGAATCTTGAGAAGGAAAATGGAAAAAAAAAGGGGGGGGTGAGGGGCGCGGGAAGAACCAACCCAAAAGAAAACAAAAAACTTTGAGGATTTAAACCGCTAGTAAGAAAGAGACTTGGATCTAAATCTACCTTTATCATTTGTCTAGGAGATCCTGAGAGAGCTCTGGTAGCCTAGCGGTAAGAAGCTATACTGCCAAGTGAAAGAATGTGGTTCAAATCCATGCGGTTCCATAGTAGAAAGACAGGCAGTCTCCTCCCGTGACATTTATTGCTTCTATGGATTGGTTCTGACTTGACAGTACGTAACAACAAGAGATCCTGAGACTCTAAGCTTATTCCTGTACAATAGTATTGATCGTACCTCACAGGATCATCACGAAGAGCTAATGAAATAATGTGGGCAAAGTCCTCAGGGCACAAGAAATACTTTACAAATGCTCTCAAGTATTATTTCAGGATGACTCCATTAAGAAATCTGGGGATGTAGTGCAACAATGAATGAATGGAAACCCAAAATCTCTGTAAATGTTCATTAAAATTAATAAAATTTAATAATAAAAAAATCTGGGGATGAAGTAAATCAATCTATCAGTCGCTCTGCATAGGAGCAGATTTTCTCTCTCCTGTGGGTACAAAAGCCTCCAAGAAAGCCACTTGAGTCTTCTTGTCCCACTGTCTCCTCTCACTGAGCACAGCAGGTGCTCCACTGAGTTTCACAGGAGCCTTCCTAGACTCATATTCTGAATGGGATTTATTTAAAGACACATTTAACTGACAGGAAAAACTGTGCCACTTCTGTGTTGACTCTCACACTGCCACCTGGCCCCAGGGTATAGTCTATATAAGTGCAGAGCTGAAACCTCGCAGTGTGACTCTTGCTCTATATAAAGCCTCAAGCTCTATATAAAGTCTTACTGCACATTTATAAGGCTAGGGGCAGAGGGACAGAAACAGGAAACATGAAAAGCCCCTTTGGTTTGCATGGAGTTGTTATAGTGCAGATGCACAAAAGGGCTGTCCTGTGCCGTGTGAACAAATGTGGACTGTACTGCTATCTAAGAAGGCGAGAACAGGCTATAGTAGCACACAGCCATAAGCATCTCTCTGAAAGGGCCAGAGGGAATAAGAATAGCACAGCCCCTCACTGCCCCAGAGCAGAAAACAGATAAAGAGCCTATAGCCCAGCGTCACAATGGTTCTAGAGCCCCACCGGCAGCAAAAGGTTATTTTATTTGTTGCTGACTCATGACAGTTATGGTACCAACAATGGGGTTTATTAAGGAAGGAAGTTGGGAGAGTGGGAGAGGCAAGGAATATCACCCAAAATAAGTCCAGGTTTTAGTCCAGCATTTCCAATGTATAATTCCTCAATAAGTCCAGGCTCTAGTTTAAGTTCAGCAATCAAATCCAAATCATTCAACAAGATTTGCCTCAGAGGAATTGTAAGTAAGCTCCTCCCTCAAACATCTGGCAAGAACAGCCAAACATTTAACTATGGCCAGCACAAATGCAAGAAGCCTCAGGTCACACGTTGCTACCATTTCTCCACAGGAATGCCAGTCTCTCTACCACCAGGGTCTTGCTCTTGCCAGGGTCTTGCTGACACAAGCCTTGCTCACCTCAAGTCTTGCTTAAAATCCTTCTCACACAAAGTCTTGCTGTCCTGCATGGGAAGCATTCTTTCTCTTATCCTAGCCCCACAGCTATTGGTGATTTGTAAGCCCATGCTGATTTGCGAGACCATGTGTCTATAGTTAAGGTAGCTGAAGACCAGAGGGGCTAACTAATGGCTAAACAAAAAGCCAACATTATGGTTAACAACTCAACTGCCCTCAGAAGGCAGCAGCTCTCAAGAGGGCCTCTCTGCTTAAGAAGAGAAAGAAGGATGTACAAGCAGCATTGGAACCAAACAGCAGCTAGTCCCTCAGCATTCCAGGTACCAGCTGCTTTCTGTGGGCAATGATGGCAAGTCAGCACCCTCATTCACAGATATAGCACAAAGTAGTAAAGCTATCCCACTAGGACAAAAGGATAGACAAGACCACCACTCTGTAGGCTATCAAGATGAGCAAAGTCAATGACAGAAAGTTTCCCATTGTGAAGTAGTGCCTATTGTAGAGTGTTTAAAAAGCAATCTCAGGTATTCAGCATTGTTTGTGGAAGAAAATGGGTGGGCCATAAGTCTGGGGAGGAATAGCTCTGGAAAAGGCCTTCTAGAAGGAGGGCAGTATACCTCAGGAAATGTGTCACCCTCCCCTCAACCTAGGGTTACAGAATGTAGACAGACATTTGTGTTTCAGCCAAAACTATGCACTGTCTGCTTCACACCTTTCCTACCTCTTTATCAGATTTTGATACTTTGGGAGTTATTTTATAACCCCTTTTGAATTACAGTTAACTAGGAAAACAAGAACACTCAGTCTAAATACACTGTCATCAAAACCCTGAGGTAAGTGTTTACTCAGTGGTTGTGAGTGAAATAAATGAATGAATTGCATCCTTATTCCATCACTGCCAATGATTAGATTCCAACTCCTGGTGACCCTCCACTGTGTTTCTAAGGCTCTACATCTTTATAAGAGAAGATCCCTAGCGGATTAAAAGAGCTGAACTTTTGGTTTGCAGTTTGACACGTTATACACTATGGCAGTTTGACACGTTATACACTATATACCACCAGGGCCCCTTGCAGTGTTATTATGACCAAAATATATGGAATCCATCTCTGTTCCATTTCAATCTATTAAAAGAAGGAGTATTTTGGCAAGAGTAAAAATTTTGTTATAAAATTTCCATAAGTATTCAGAAAGCAATATGACTTACCTGGAAATATCTGAGAAAGTAATCACCTAAGAGGGTGGCCGAGTGGGTAAGGAATTGTGCTGCCAACTCAAAGGCAAACAGTTTGAATCCCTCAGCTGCTCCATAGAAAAAAGCTAAACAATCTCTTTCCACATGATTTGCAGCCTCGGAAGACCCGATGGAGGGTCAGCTAGATGAATCAGCTCTGACTTGATATCAGAGAGACTTATCTAAGAAAAGTCATGGAATATATGTGTATTGTAGTGCCATATTAAGCATAATCCATATGTTGGTGATATACTAATAGTCATCAGCATATAAAATACTCACTGGTACTGAGAGAAACATTTCATTTTCACAATACTCCTCATGCTCCCCTAAATGTCCTCTGCTTTCTCTGGCCACAAGATACCTCTGTAACTCAATGTAATACCCTCGAGGCTTTCACATGAACACGTCTCCAGTTTGGGCCATGGGTTTATTGTCTTCATGTTGTACAAACAAGAATTCAGACCTCTGGGAAGCCAAGAGGCTTCATTAAGCTGGCAGCTGAAACATGCACCTAGCAGAACTCATTCGCATTACTGTGGGCCATCTCTTACTCCACGTCCCCACAGAAGAAGTTTTACCTGAGAGTTTATCAGACGAATGGTGGTTTTCGTCCCCACATCTTTTTGGAAGCTGGCTGTGGGTGCTGCATTAAACCTCAGGATGGCATCATGATCATCTAGAAATGACAAGGAAAGAGAAAAAGAGGTGAGGAGCCCTAGCAATACACAGAGTGAGAGAAGGCCTGGAGGAAAGAGCAAACGAGGGAGGCAGGAGCAAGAAGAGAATGCTTTCCAGTTTCTATTAGTTTATACGCTATAACCAATTAAATCTCAGAGAGGTGTGAACTGTGGCTGCTACGGGCCACTTGAAACCCAGTCGAGATATCAGCACATCCAGGCTGAGCAGAAAGGGGAACAAGGATAGTATTTCACTATTTGCCGAAGGAGCAAACCACACTTACCATACAAAAGGGATCACATTTCTATCCCTGTTAGAAAAATAAAGACACTACCATATACTTGGTCTACTCCCCATGGCACTGTAGGATGTGTGTCATTCTCTGAAAATGGCAGAGTTTCAGTCTGGCATTGAAATAATTCCCTTAGCATTTAGTTAGGGGTTGGAGAACCACAGAAAGTTCATACACTTCAGTATTTCCTATTCTGTCTTTTTTTCTGTTCACGCCTCACATAAGCATTTGTTCCAACATAACACTTTGTCAGAAGTAATGTTCTAAATTGAGAAATGATCAAGGAAGTTACCTATTAAAAAAAAACAACAAAAAAACAAACACAACATAAAAACCCCACCACTTCACTTCCTGGGTTCTTGCTCCCTGTCATCTGAACTATTTAAACAGAGTTTCAAAGACTTGGTCAAATATTTGTATGTAAGCATTGGCCAATCTGACTGGGGAGGGAATGGATTTTTTAAGGTCCCTCCCAAACCCGAATCTCTGTGATCCTAAAAAAAATAACAATAAACCCATCTCAGCTTTACTTGATCAAGCAGACTTAAGATTCATCATTCAAATGTGCACAAGATTGCGGGGCAAGGTGTCAACCCAATCCTCCATTGCTCCATTTCTCTCTGTGGGAGCTTTGTTTTGGGTTGCTTATCTACACAGGAAGAATAGGAGTGTGTACATAATCTGAACTTCTGGCTTAGTACAAACTACAACAAAGAGAGGATGTCCACTGATTTAAGAGATGAAAGTCTTTTTCTTTATTTCAATTCCAACATATTTACTAAGTCCTAAGGGATCTGGATAGAGTTTAAAACACACACATGCCTCCAAAAACAAAACAACCCAAAAAACAAACCCACAAAAAATAAAAATCCCAATCAAACAAAAAAATCACAAACCTATTTTAAGTCCTAAGACAACATTTCATTGAAAAATGTTCAAAATAACATAGGCACACTACACTACAAATAAGGCCAGAGGAACAGCATGACATGATTCTGAACTGCAACCCATTTTGTTTTGACAATGGCTTCGAAAGGGATCAGTCACATGAAACATGAAGATCCATCCAAAACTTCCCTTACTTAGTCAGCCTTCTCATTCTGCAGGTGAATAAATTATTGGCCAAGGCCCTTGTACAAAGGAGAAGACAAGCTCAAATGATGGAACCAAGGAGAGATAGTTCAATAACATTTACAAAGGTATATTATTATTATTATTATTATTATTATTATTATCATCTAACTCTATGAATAACAGGATCTCACAGTAGACCCCAAATCCCCTCTCTGACATCAACTGCAAATGCGTTGCTACTTCTGGCCCTAACTACCAGGACCACCCTGGGTCACATCTCACCAGCTGGAGGGTAGTCTTCCAGACTACCAAGTCTATCCAAAATTTGAAACACCTGTGACAAACTTACAGATCCCCACATACCTTCACCTCTACACACCCTCCTCATATCTCCTCCTACTGGATATAAATTCTGCTGTTTCCATTAGCTGCTTGGGTTTAAGAATTCATTAGGACTCACACAACTCAAAAGTATTACTTAAGGGTGCAACAATGAATGAACGGAATTCCAAAATCTCTGTAGATGTTCATGGAAATGAAAAATAAATAAATAAATTTTTTTTAAAAAGCATTACTTTTACAACTGTATCTATAATAGAGTAGTAAAAAGGATACAAATGAAGGCATGCATAGGGTCAGGTCTTGAAGGGTTCCCAGTGGAGACACATTTTTATATGTCCTAAAAATTATCACCCTACCAAGTATCTATATCTTTGTCAACCAGGAAATTCACCAAGCTTCTGTGTCCAGAGTTTTTATTAGGTTTCCATTTTTTGAAACCACAATTGATTATAGTTAAACTCACTTCCCAGCCTCTCTCCTCCAACATGGCACTGAGCTCATGTGGTGAGGCTTTCAGGTCTGCCTGGAAACATCATTGGTTCAGGAATCATCTCCTTAGGATAATCTGCTAGATTGGCATGGTTTGGAGACTCTCCATGAATTACAAAATCTCTAGTCATTGGGGAGATTCCGAGGGTTTAAACATTACCTCCTAGGAAGAGGGATGAAAACCAAAGTCTGTGGGAAAGTTAATTGCATATTCCACAGAGTATTTGGCAAGAGTTTAAGAAAATCAATAAGGAATTGTGAAATATCCCACAGTTGGATAAGGCTGGAAACTATCACAAACCCCTAGACCTAACGTGGAAGATGTGATAACCTTGAGCTGAGGAAAATTCATCATAGTGATAGGAGCTGGATTGCAATTTGGGACAAAACCACACAAGAGCTAAAGGTGAAGGTGGGATAGATCATCAAGCACCCTCCAGTTTCAGTTGTCAACCTATTAAAGCACAGGCTGAGCCCCTCAAAACAAAACAAAACAAAACAAAACCAACTACCTAACTGGCATTTTAGGCATGTGGAACTGCACCACAACATAAAGAGCTAGTCAGAGCGGGAGCTTCCGGTGACATCATTCCATTGGTCCAAATACCACTCACAGGAGAAAGAAGACTGGCTATATAACCCAAGTAGCCCCACCATCCCCTCCACCCAACTCCTTTCCTTTTGGAACGGGACTTATTCCTTTCTTTGGGATGTACTTTCACTTTCTCAAATAAACTACCTGTCCTTTCAGCTCCACTCTCATCTACTTGCCTTCTTCCTCAGCAAATCAGATGTTCCTAAGCTTAGCAGCTGTGAAAGTCTCTGAGGCTAAAGCGCACAGCAGCAGCTCTCTTAAAAGCTGCTGAAATTGCTGTATCCCCTGTTGGTGCCTCCACCGCAGCAATGACTTCCTGTTGTCTCCAATATGACTTGATTTTTCTGCCCAGGCAAGTGAGGGCAAAACTAGGGCACTGACTGCATGCTAACAATACCTAAACCTAATATCCAGCCAGCAACAGGGAGGCGAAGGAAATGAATTCCCTAACCTCTCTCTTTCTCCTTTTCCTCTGACTTTCTAGGCCTGAAGCACAAAGAGAAAATGCAGAATGTAGAGTCAGAAAGAACTGAGATCTTTAATTAAATGAAAGAATTTGCATAGACAAAGTCAAGGGAGATGATATCCACGCCTCAATGTTCTCCTCTTCCTACTCTTTCCCCTCAGTTGTTGTTAGGTTCTGTTGAGTAGAGTACGACTCATAGCGACCCTGTGAATATCAGATCTGAAACCTGCCTGATCCTGTGTCATCCTCATCATTTCTGCCACACTAGGGCTCACTCACTGTAAAGTAAAAGTAAATAAAAAACACTTACCCTCCAGGATCCAACTGTGCCAAGCTGGAGGCTCACCCTCTGACTTTTAAATACAAAGGCCCACCCACCACTCATCAGTCTATAACAGGAAATTTGAAGGACCACTGCCTGGCCAATGGATTGGAAGGGGTCCATATTTGTTCCCATTCCCAAGAAAAGGTGATCCAACTGAATGTGGGAATTATTGAACAATGTAATTGATATCACATGCTAGCAAAATACTGCTGAAAACCATTCAAAAATGGCTGGAACAGTACATACTTAAGGAACTGCCAGAAGTTCAAGCAGGATTTATAAGAGACCACGGACAGCACCAGGGATATCAATGCTGATGTCAGATGGATCCTGGCTGAAAGTAAGGAATACCAGGAGATGGTCTGTTTGTGCTTTATTGACTATGGTAAGGCAATTGACTCTGGATCATGACAAGTTGTGGCTGACATTGAGAAGAATGGGAATCCCAGAGTGCTTGACTGTGCTCATGAGGAACCTGGACCTGAACCAGGAAGCTGCTATGCGAACAGAGCAAGAGAGCACTGTATGGTTTGGAATTGGGAAGAAAGTGTGCCAGGGTTGTATTCTCTCTCCATACCTATTCAATCTGTATGCTGAGCAAATTATCTGAGAAGCTGGACTCTGTGGGGAGGATTGTGGCATCAGGATTGGAGGGAGATTCATCAGTAACCTTATGCATTATGGAGATGACACACCTTGCTTGCTGAAAGTGAAGAGGGCTTGAAGCATTTGTTACAGAAGATCAAGGAACGCAGCCTTTGGTATGGATTGCATCTCAATGTCAGGAAAACAAAGATTCTTAACACAGGTCCGATAAGCAGTGTCATGATGAATGGAGCTTCATCTTACTTGGATCAACAATTAACCACCTTGGTACCAGTAGTTAGGAAATAAGGAGACAGATTGCATTGGGGAAATCTGTAGTTAGGGACCTTTCCAAATTCTTGAGGAATAGTGATGTCAGTTTGAAGATGAATGTGTGTCTGATTCCAGCCGTAGTCCTGCCGATTACTAGCTATGCATTCGAGAGCTGGACAATGAATAAGGATGAAAAAGAATTGAAGCCTCTGAGCTGTGGATTGGAGAAGAACATCGAACATAGCACGGATGGCCAAGAGAACAAACAGGTATGTCTTGGAGAAGGTGCAGCCAGAGTGCTCTTTGGAGGCAAGAACGATGAGTCTTTGCCTCACATACTTTGGACATGTTAGTAGGAGGTGCTATTTCTTGGAAAGGGACATGGTATTGGGAATGGTGGAAGGTCGGCAAGGGAGAGGACGACCCTCAACTCGGTGGACTGACACCGTTACTGCTGCAATGGGCTCTAGTGTGTCAGGTAATTTGAGGATTGCGCAGGATAGAACAGAGTTCAGATCTTTTGTTCATAGGGTTGCTATGAGTCGTACTCACCTTGA